GTCGGCCGCCTCGCCGTCGCCCTGCATGTCGGAGGTCCACAGCGTGAGGTTGTCGCGCAGCAGCTGCATGATGAGCGTGGAGTCCTTGTAGCTCTCCTCCGACAGCGTGTCGAGCTCCGCGATCGCGTCGTCGAAGGCCGCCTTGGCCAGCCGGCACGCGCGGTCCGGGCTGTTCAGGATCTCGTAGTAGAACACCTGCGCAGCGTCACACAACACACACATTAGTATTGACATACTAACATCTTACTCTGACGCAGAATTAACCTATAACATAACCTCAGTCATCAGTTTCAAAGATTAATGCAAATATATCTTGTACAAGAAACCTCATTTGTTTTAATGTCACAAATACTCCAGTTTTAACACATTTATAGATGTACATGTGCCAGATTCATTGACAAAGAATATCTAAACGGACCTTCCTAAATGGTAACTTATGGATACAAATTTGTCTGTACCAAAAATTGAAAACATTTAACCCTTAACTTTACAAGACACTGGTAATGCGGTGACGTAGTTTACAAGCAAACACTAGAGATAGCAACAGAGTTCGTCATTGCTCGACGTTATCTAGAGGAGTTGGCGCTATTGCGTCATCTCAACAACTATGATATGCGTAAAACCTCTGCTTAGGGAAAATTGAGACAATCAGTTATCAGTATAACTAATAAGCATATAGATACAAGAAACTGAAAATATCTGATAACAATAATTGGTAGTTTAAAAACTTATCTTCTTAATAAGTTTTGTTTGATAAAAGTATATTAAAAGATCAAGTGTATTATTTCTACAAATGGAGTAATGAAATTTTAAAATACATTTCTATATATCAAATAACTATAGACTACAAAAACCTCAGTATTACATGACAAAAAACCCACTAATATTACAATGGTATTACAAGGGTAAAACCCAATTTGTACAACATGAGGGACATCTACTGTTAGTAAATTCGAACAAAATAACACAGTTTTTAAGGCTCTATATTATTAATAGACAATCCTACGATGTATGTATTATCAGTATAGATTATAAGCTATTGATAAGGTCGCGGGTGCGTTGAACCCAGCTATCTGTTGCAGGCGCTACGCCCGACCTTCAGCCGGCTGTCGCTGACCAACTGAGCTCTCAATTACTTAATTGCTACTGTGGTAATTACTCTAGGGATTCACCTTATCAAATCTTAACTAAGTTTGGTGAAAGTTATTACACGAGATAATTAATATGAACACCCAAAACTTGGGCAAGGACAATCGAATTAAGATTTTAATTTAAAATGAATACCAACATATACATGAGTGTTTACAACAGAAAAGCAAAGCGAATTTTACGAGCAGAAAATAATTGACCATTATTTAAATGCCAGAATGTTTCGTCGAGATTTTTGTCCCGTTCAAAAGCATTAGAGGATTTTAAAGACCCTACATTAAGTGTAACTTTTGTACTAACGACAAAAGTTGCCAAGGTGTGTTGTTTTGTGTTGTGTATGTGCAGATAGTGTTGTGGCGTTGTATCTGTCATGAGAAATACACAACTGCGCATGTCAGTGCTGGGAGAAGAGAGTGATTAGTGTAGTAACTAACGAATATGAGGAATGTATGCGCAAGCGGAGGTACCTGCCCTTCGCCTAGAGCTTCGACCAGAGTTACACAAGGACAGGCAAGACATAATAAAATATTAATAAAAGATATGTCTTTAGTGTGATACGTACAGAGAAGTTGAGCGCGAGCCCGAGGCGGATGGGGTGCGTGGGGGGGAGCTCGGTCATGGCGATGTCGGAGGCGGCCTTGTACGCCACCAGCGAGTTCTCCGCCGCCTCCTTGCGGTCGTTGCCCGTCGCGAACTCCGCCAGGTATCGGTGGTAATCGCCCTGAAACACAACAATATTAACATTAGCTCTACAACACCTGTGTAATGGACAGTGGTGAGAAGACCAAGGGAAGATGTGGTTTATTCTTTTTTATGGTAAAAGAATTCTGAGTAGATTTCTGAGATCTCATTCTAATGTCTCATACTATCCCATACCCGTGCTATCTAACGGCACCTCTGTTTAAAGTTAGTCTTTGGATTTTACAGTTTACCTAATCACAAAAATACATGAGCAAACTAAACACTAGGACAATGTTATATAAACCTACGCCTCATTCCACGCTCATCATTTACAAAGAAACCTGACGGCTAAAGTCTCGATGAGTAACTTACATATTTATGTATCAACTGCTTATCAGAGACTTGTAGCAATCAGCGAGTTTGTTATAGTAAAATTACTATGACATCTACACTAAGCGATCATTTAAATAACCATTACGTGTGTAAGTGCAGCAGTATGAGAGTCACAATCATTGTTTAGGGACACAAGGACAAACGTCTGCGACGGCTGTAGCCACCAACAAAGGTAACGGCGACCTTTATCAAGATAAGATAAGTCTTATCAAACATACAAATAGCTAATACTAACATGGAACAAAAGAATTATTTTTCATTCCGCGGTGCATGTAAATAAAATAATTATCATAACCGTAAATTAGTTACTATTTTTAGATGATTTTCTGGTTATAAATAAACTGCTTATAGGAAGCAAGTTAAATCGTATTGACTTCTTTGATTGATTGTAACTGTAGATGTATTTTTTAGAGTCAAAATAGTCAAGTTTCTATGTACTAAGTATGTTATGGTTTAATACAATTTGTAAGCACAAGTGGAACATAACTCTTCAAGTATAAGTTAATCTGACAGATGCGGGCGCCTGGCCTGAGGCAGACACTTGATGTGGCTAATTGAAAGGATTAGAAATTGTTAGGGGAAATGTGGCTTTAAATGACGGCATACGGACATGCCTAAGACACGAATGACAGATTTTTACCCGACCGACAGGAGGGTAATATTTTTCGCGTGTGTAAAAGTTCCATTGTTGCCTTTAGAGCTTAGAGACGTTTTTTTTAAGTATCGAATCTATACTAATATCTACAAGGAAGATTTGTATTTTTGGATTTTTCGATTTCAAAATTTCTTTCACTATTACAAGCTACGTTATATTAATAACATAGGCTATCTATTTTATCTTTCTCTATTTTTTAATTCTACTTGGACGGAGTCGCGAGCGAAAGCTAGTAATTTATAAAGTTTTTCAGGTTGTTCAACACTCAATGACAATTCCTTTAATTTCACCTTACTGGGGTTACTGGGACCAAGTTGTTACATTTTCGACTTAAATTTAAGGTATAAAATATTACTCCATTGACCCGTGGTAATGAGGAAGCGCGTCGTGAAGCTCATTACGAGGCTGGCCGGCACGGAGGCCGCTGGGACGTCGTGACGCATACGCAATTGTTATTACAACAATGTATTGTTAACTGTAAAATTATTGAAACACCTCCATATTGACAGCCAAATATAGTGTCTAGAGATGTACGACTCTCAAATGTTACAAGTCTGCTTTATCGAATTGATTAATTTTTTATGTCTTAAAAGCAAAATTTTATTACAAATGCTAGTGAGCGCTGAAAATACGTAAAACCTACACACTTCAGCACTGAGTATAGAAAATAATGTTAAAAAAAAAACAAGATCGAATACATATTTAGAAGTTAAACAACGCTGTTATCGAAACAAAACAAAACAGGAGACTACGCACATCATATCGATATATCATGCACAGCTCTACGCGGTGCTACCGACTTGTGCTTCCTACTTCGTTTTCATACAACAGAGGACGTGAAATCGATGAATTATTTTAAGACAAGCAGTAGTAATACTTGATGTACAGTAACCATGCGATACTATCAATTGTCAACACCATGAAAATCCACTATAAAACCGTGTAAATAGTGCGTCACGGCATATAATTTGTGACTAATATTGAACCTTGCTAGTTTCTAATAAGGTCGAAATTGCACTAACGTATCAAGGTGCTATTTGACGTAATATAGGGAATTAGGGTAAGTAAAGTCATTACGCAAAATATCAGCAGATAAGCATCGGTTTGGTCATTTACAGTGGTGTTTAATTTATTACTTCGAAAACTAATGAGAACGTAAGTTAACCTTATGTTGCTAATACTGTTCTGCTGAGAAAATCACACTTAAAAAACTACATGAAAGTTTTATTTGTACTTTTGTCATATATAACACCATTGGTTGGTAAATTTTCAAACTTAACTGACTCTTGGCAGGGATTAACAAATATTACATTTTTTGTACGTAAATTTAAACAAGCTATAGGTTAACTTAGTGCCAAAACTACACCTAGCTCATGAGATTTATTTTTCTGTCTACATTTTAGAGGTTCTTAAGAGTGAATTTCAGACGTACCCTTCACTTTCGTGTGTCTGATTGTTAGGCGCGCTTTAAGTTACCAACAATTGACATTACAAGCGTCATCGGACGTGAGTAAACGTTCATTCAGAGCTGCTGACATCATGCCGGCATGCCTTGCGTCGCCCACGCGTTGCAAGCGCGTATACGTTGACTATGACTAACTATTGACTATCTAGACAAGACACGATGAACTGCAATGTAACTAAGTATAATTTTGGCGCAATCGTTTCTATACTGTCTTCAAAAGCAAAGCTGTTGGAATAATGTTTTAAATCAGGTAACAGATTAACTTCCTTTTAATAGCTTCGATACAAGGATACAAGGAGATAATATTATGAATTGAACAAAATTTAACCATTTTCAACCAAATATAATGAGAATAATCAAAGTAAAGTTTCAAAATGTAGATGAAATGTATTTAAAGTTACTTTATTCCCTGTTTTCCGACTCAACTTAAAATACAGAAGTTATTTAAAATGAATATCAATAATTATCTTCTCTATACGCTAGTCAGTCAGCATTAATTTATATTGCGCAGGTTGAGGTTGTACTGTCTAGGGAAAATCAAGACGGGCTCTTACAAGTAGATATGTAAGTTTGCATAGCACTAAGGTGCGTGTATGGGGAACCTACATGGCGGTGTTTTCTGGAACCTTCTACGGGCACGGGATCGCGAGAGGCGTGCATTACGCATGCCCAGGGACGGGATTATCGATTAGTGGAGGGGGGAGATGGGGGTTGGGGCGGCGCTCCCGGCCGCAGAGCACGCAACATCTCGTCCTTCGTAACCGAGCGCCGAGCGCAGACTTTTACGACAAACGTGACCCGGCCCCGTCTCCCCGTGAAGCGGGCACCGTTAGAAAAGAACAAAGTCTAACTACATATTAAAGTTATAACAATGGAATATATAAAGGACCGGGTTTATTAGAGTTAGGTACATGCCAAAACTAGTATAAGATTGAAATAATGAGAAAATTAATTTATCTTAAATATATCGCAATATTGGTGGGATTTACGAATACATAGAAATCTCAATTAAATATTACCACTAACTAAAGCTATTGACAGTCTATAGAACTTGATCATAAAGTAATTGCTTTGGGAACCATCATCACAGTCAAAAGGAGTTACAACGTTCTAGACAACTTGTTGGATGTCATGTGGAATGTGCAAAGTACAAATAGTCCTACGTATTTTTAGACTGTGTTGCCATCAGTCCACCGTTAAGTCACACCTAGGAAGCTGGAATAAAAATTGTGAGCGTGCCTACCTTCATTTTGTAGTAGAAGACCTTAGACTCGCCGGTCTGCGAGCTAGGGATGAGGTGCTTGTCGAGCACGCCCAGGATGTCGGAGCAGATATCGCGCAGCTCCTTCTCCACTTGGCTGCGGTAGGCGCGGATCATCGTCAGCTTATCTTCAGCGCCCTATGTACAAACACATACTAAGTAACCAGTTACTAACATACAAAATACAGTGTTAAGGGTAAGACCATCGTTCCAAAGAGTTAAGGCTCTTGTGCTCGATTGTCAAGCAATGTTTAAACACGAGCAGTTTGAAGCTCTTATAATTGTAAGAAAAATTCTGATAGTAAATACTATGCGTTTGTAATGCCTTCTTACAAACCACATGTTCATTCATTAGTTTAACAGTATAAAACAATTTCATTCATTCAAATATTTACTATTAAACAGGTCTATCGTAGCGTGTTAAAAATAGTAAGTACGTAAGATTAAGAAAGTATGAAAAGCAATCGTGTTTCGGCACGCCAGCGCCACCGGACGGGCGGCAGAATTAGCAGATCAATAGTAAATCTGACCTCAAACCAACAACCTTGACACCATGCGCCGGCCCTCATGCCAATACTAACAAATGTGCGCGCGCAAAAACTCCGCTACACCAACGTACGGAGATTATTTTGTTTATAGAATTCGGAAACACAAAAGAGTAATAGACTTAAGTACGCGGTATTGTTTTTTTTTATTACAATAAGCCAAAAGTAGACCAGAGATTAGTAGACGTAGACTGCTTTCAAATCGCAGTGGTTTCGATCAATCCCCCGCAGCGAGATTCGTTCAAGTAACTGAACTTTATTTCTCGCCATATTACAGCCTCGCCAGGAGCAGGTCTTTTGTTGTAAACCTACTCAAGATATCGAAGATTTCCGTTCAAATTTTGCCAATCTACACGTGCCAATGTTAATAACATGGAAGACAAAGAAATAATTCCATGAAATATTGTTACAAACAATATCTAGAAATGCGACACCAATGCTTCGAAGAAGCGGCATCAATGTAGCGGCTGCATTAGAATGTTTAGGTTTCATATAACAAAGTAGGCGCTTTGTAAGCTAAATAAATAAAGCACTTGGAAATTATTCATTGTTATTCAATCACCAGCCTTTGCTTAGTGAATAAAAGCCGAACGTAAATCAATCTATTTCATGATCAAATAGTTTTACTTGCCACTTATTTCTGTTACGTTCACAAAACACACACATATTCAAATAATTTTTTTATTTATATCATAAGGTGGCACACGAGTAAGTGGTCACCTAAATACGCCAAAATGGCGAAGCTACTGCTGCCCAGACATTCTCGCACAAGCGGATGCTTTGCCTGCACTCGATCGACGGAGAAGGAGACGCACATAAAGAGGATATTTCCCCTTCCTATGCGTCTCCTGCACCGTTAAATTCACATTCCCTTCTCTTCATTTTCTTATAAGAAGAAGGGTGGGAAGGAACAAGGACTTAAGTTGAGCCACCGGAGATTGGATCTTAAGTCATTTTTGTAATACTATCCCATTATTCAGAAAAATCCTATATGACAGCAGCAAGGCGGACAAGTTATAGACGTCAAATCAGTACCTTATTTGGTAGAGATAATGAATGTTTCGGTCAAGGCGGGCACTTATGAATACGATATGAATCTAGACTATCATTATCTCTACCCTAAAGAAATCAATTAGTAAATCGATCCCATTTAGCGCAGATTTGTTAATTATTGCATTCACTAGAAGCAGGCGATGTAAGTATTTCGTTAAACGGTCGATTAGAGCTATTACATTTAAATTATCAAGCGAGTTGCTACGCAGTCAAGCGCTAAATGCGCTTAGCATTAAATCTCCAAGATTAACTTGATTGAAGGAAGCCCACTATCACCTGTTGCTCAAAGCATATTTATATTGATGTTTTATATGGAAACTATACCATAATTTCAGTTCGTTTTTTAAATATATCTCAATTTATTATATATTTTGCCTGACACAAATTGTTTCTCCATTATTTAGTAGAATTTTGATGAAAAATCATGTATTTCTTAAGCTACGAGAACTAAACATCATTCTATAATTGGACCAAAGTTACATGTGTTAATGAACCTTTAGGAAGGCAAGCTCACGAGATATACTATCCTACCAGTATCACAGAAAAATCTTGTTAAGACTAAATCATAATTTCATGTTACATTCTGTTTTGTACTAGAAAATAATGGAGTTATTTTTAGAAGAAAAAGTAAAACCCTGTAGCAAAGTCCCATTTACCCGAATATTTTACAAAAAAAATCATTAATAGGCTGTCCTCTAGTGCCATCGAAGCAAGTTAATTGCTCAGAGGGTCCCAGGTGACAGAGTGACGTAACGACTATCCCTTTATACAATAATTAGAGCCGACTAGACACTCCAACCGTTAATTTCGACCCAAAAATTTACTCTATACAAACTTAGTTTAAACGCTAGTAAATGTTAAATAGTCTGTCATTTATTTTAAGACAAGAATTTAATGAAAATCATAACTTTTTCTTTTATTTTGTAGACTTTAAGTAAACGTCCAGTGAGCACTTATGTAAGTGCTTTTTTTCTTGTTTGCTTCTTTCGCCGAGTTTAGTACCGTGTAAGCGCGATTAATCCAATTATATGCTTTCTTAACTTTTTGTGATCTCTGTAGGTTATTTTTTATTTACAAACAAAAGATTTATTGCTACAATATACGCAACGTGTGGTTTTTGATAAGCAATAGTTATCATAAACCGATAGACGTCCAAATAGATTCAAATACGAAACAAATGAATTTAAAATCAGTTCAACCGTTTAGGCTCAGATGTTCAAACTACCGGCCTACATGTATATCTGAGTTTTGACAAAAATAATACTGCTATTGCATTTTACTTTTATATATCCTGTTAAAACGATCCGCCGACAATTTTATCCACGAAATTAACAGAAAACATTTACCAATAAATTTGATCACAAACATTTCAAAGCAAGTCAATTAACAAATTGTAAGTGCAAAGGTCCGCTCGTACATCCTGTTTGTAACCGCTCTCTATTTTAATTATTTAAAGTGTACCGGTACTTAATTGATATTTTTTAATTACAATAATTAATTATTTTGTATTTGTGAACGTTTGTCTAATATCAGACTGATGCAATTTATGTAGACTCTAAACAAGGATCGTGAGAGTATTATGTATGTCGAATAACATCAAAATAACATACAGTGATTAGACATTTTCATATATTTCGTTATCCTCTTTGTAAAGTCCTCTGAAAGGCTTTATTTTCTTGTACCTTCGGCAACATCGATTTGTCCTTCAATGTTGTTTTTATTTATGTTATGGCTTAAAAACGTGATACACATATTATGATAAAAACGAGATATAATATCAATAGTTACACAATATTTGTTGTGATAACTGATATATGTGGCGTTCCTTGTAAACCTCAAAGGTAATGTGTATGAAAAACTCTACGCACTTTATCTTATCTCCTTAATAATTTTAAATATATAAACTTTGCTATATATCACCAGTAGCTCGGAGCTTGATCAGGTTAGGGTTAACAAGCTTTTTAATATAAGGTGGCTACCTAAATCCGCCAAACCGGCGAAGCGAACTGCCCATAGACATCTTCAACAGCGGAGACGTTGCCTACCCTTAATCGACGGTGGAGGTGCACGTAAAAAGGATATTTCCTCATCCTACGCGTCTCCAGCACCGTCAAATCCACTTTCCCTTTTCATCCTCTAATACGAAAATGTGTAGAAAGGAAAAGGCACGTTGTATCTTCGGCACCACACTCAACAGACGAAACGCGGATTTGCTCCCACTTCACGCCTTTCTTTGTGTCGCCTGCTGGCCCAGTCCTGCTTTGGCCACTTTACGCAACTTAACAATCAAAATCAGATTTCATGAATTCGTCAGTACTTCAGTGATATTTGCATTCAAGTACATCATATCATTTCTCTAAATTGTGACGCATCAAAAATGAGACATACGAGGCGTGGCTGTAAGTCTATCTTTTAAATTAAAATATAAAATTAATCTTTCTAAGACATTTCGTTCTTTACCGTTAATCGTGAGAGTAAAAAACCTTGCTTTTCTCCAGATAAACGTGCGCTTAACAGTTTTAATAATTTCACCGTACTCTCAAATTCGTTGCATTTTGTTTAGAGATTTTTGGTAAAGTCTTTACAACTGTAAATTTAAATTTTTAGCTGCTGCCGTTACACGTGTACGAAAAATTATATTACTCGTAGTAATATTGTATTTAATAATAACAAATAAACTGGATATAAAGTTCGCATCTCACGATTGCAGAAAGTTTCTATAATGTTCGAAGTTTTCATAATAAACTTTTATATGGCGTTTGGAAAGAGAAATAAAATCGACAACGCATTTCAGTGCCAATAAAGCCTTGCTATGAGTCATACACGACCCAATTTTACTCGCTATACTGCATTGCCCCACCCCATTAAATTCCGGAAAAGTCTAAATACACCTCTGTGGTCAAAGTTATTACTTTTATGTATACTTATATAGGTTAAAGTAAAGGATATAAACGTAAATGCAAAAGCACTTGTCTTATAAAACACGAACACGCTAGGACTACGTGAAAATAGTATTGGAAGTTATGTAAGAATTTTCACTCCAAATTGGGTCCTTTCCAACTTTTGTGCTATTACATAACTTAAGTTCAGTGAACCTTACAACAGTAAGGATTTTTTTTCAATTGGCATCCCTTTAGTATACCTTTTTTATTTTTTTTTTATTTAAATTCGAAACATTTATGTAACATAAAAAATATAAAGGACCATTACATGTTCAATTTTAGCATATAATTCCAAGCTTTTATGTTATTTTGTAAAAAATAATTCTATTGAATTAGGCAATATAATCTAATACTGATTTAGAAGTTGCAAATTGTCATATTTTATAACAAGATTATTTATCTTTTATAACAAGGTTATCCACAATTAAACCAAAACTTAAAAGAAAGTGACAATGTCATCATATAGTGTTTTATATAGGTATTCTGTCAGTTAAAACTAGCTAAGTTTATGTGCCTTGTGGTATTACTTCAAGCATCAATAACAGCCTCTAACTGCTAAATGTTTGGTACAGTATTTATTCTCCAAGTATGTGAGATTTTAAAGACTGTTATAATTTAAAATTACATAGGAAACATTACTCTAAATCACTATACCTTTTCTCTTCAAATATTTCATCACCCATTCATCGGAGACAGAAGTGTAAGAGCATTAGTGTATAATATATTGTACTGAATTTACACTAAGGGATGCCCTTAGTAGCTAGTAGTAGTAGTAACTTAGTAGCTATTTGTTTCATTGAAAATGCAGAAACACATTGGGTGGCATTCATTTACCATCCCTTGATTTAGGAGTCTCTTAATCAGCATTTAGGGGCTTAAATATGAATTAATTATCACAAAAATTTAGTAGTGTTCTTAGTTACTAAATTTGGTTTAGTTTGGAGTAGACCTTTAACAAATAATATTCTAAGGGCAGTTAGGTGAAAATGGGCATAAATTATTATGTAATACTTACTTTTGTTTCTTCCTTTTGTTCAATAGAAGAGATGATCCTCCAAGAGGCGCGGCGTGCCCCTATGACATTTTTGTATGCGACCGAAAGGAGGTTTCTTTCCTCCACTGTGAGTTCATTGTCTGATACATTGCGGGAGGCTACATTCTTCATCGCCTCAACCATTTCTGTAAACAAACATATTACATTGGTTACCATTGTTATAAATCTCTTAAGATTGAGTTGAATAAAATCAAATGGTTGACCACAAAATTCTAATTACCCAATATTAGTTGATCTTCATAACCTAAACATTTCTTTTACTGAAGGTGGCACTTGCTCATGCAAGTGGCCAGATTGGCCAAAATAGTAGAACAATTACTGTCCATAGACAAGTGGAAATGAAGATGCATTGTCTACCTTATCATTAAGAGTTACATGGATCAATATTAACTCCTTGTTCTGATTATTCAATGAATTTTGCTTAGAACCAATCTTTTCAATTCAAACTTTATTGTACTTCATTTTTTTAAACTAATCATGTATTTTACAATGTCTTATTATTTTAATTGAAGGTTTAGATTCATATTTGTACCTTTCTTTTGCTTGTAACACACAGTGTGTTACATTGTAATAAATCTAAGTCTTATCAGGGAGTATGTCATAAATTCTTACATAATAGTGTGGGATATCTAAATTATAGGTAGGATTTTCAACTCCAAAGCCTTATTTATACATTATCAGTTAAAAAATAATAAATTGTGTAAAAAATAATGTAACTCATTTATTTTAATTTAATTTTGATGATGTTGCTTATCCTCTTTAAGAGAATTTTTAAATATATTCCTAGGATAATAAAATTCTCAACAGTATGCCTGTCATAAATTTAAGACATACATTTTAACTAAATTAAAAATGTTGAAGTGAAAGTAACGTACGCAGTATGAATAATAAATATGAAATTAGCACATTTTTCACAACTTCGTGAGTCAGTGAATAAATGACGGCTGTCAAGTCGCGCAGTACATTTACTCAAAAATCGATAACTACGAAGTATGCAATTTCGAGTTCGGAATCGTGATAAAAAAATACCGTTCGTGCACCACTTGCTAAGAACGTAAGCTTTCGCTCTGATACGGGGTCACAGCGTCTGCGATATCAACTCCGTGAAAGTCGCTCAAAGATAACCTAACAATAGCCGCTGTTTTAATTCAAGCGATGAATAAAACGATTTAACTTGCGAAATTCACAACCCACTTCGATATGAATAAGTGAAACCTCGCGGGAATTGCAGGTCTATTGGTAAATTGAGAAACAAAAAAAATGTAGAACATTCAGATGCCTTTCATCAAATAATCGTTACAAGGCGCGATATGCATGAGTGAGCTCGGTGACATCGATCCAGTCTTACTTCTTCCCATTCATGAGAAAAAAGAGAATGACTTTTTCATCTCGACATTTGCAACGAATTCAAATGAAACGCAAAAAGAACGACGTTTGAAATTAAAAATCTTAAACATTTTGGTATAACAGAAGGTTTGGAGTCGTTTGAGACGGTTTTTTTGAGTTTTATCATCGTAAAAAACGTAAAGGGCATCCCACCGGCGGATGACGCATCGATCGCTGACCAAGCCTAACGAATGCCATTGATTTGTTACAATTGAACAAATGCAAGGCTTAAAATGAATGCATTATACATATTTTTCCTTATATAGTGATCCCTTTATAATGAAATAAGTGAGTATTCGAAGAAATTTTTCAGACTATCACCGATTCGTCTTTCAACTGTCGGCGAAATTATCAAAGAATTTCTGTCCCTAATACTGAAGAATAAGTAAAAATATGTACTCACCATCATAGCGCTCCGCCTGCTCGGCTAGCTTTGCTTTATACACATTATCTTCCCTTTCCGACATTGTGGATGACAAATGATTTTTCACTAACTAAACCGAATCGCCAGGTCACTAATTCACCAAGATGGCCGCGCCCGCCAACCGAATCCGAATTCGATCTTCAACTAAACTCCGCCCATGACGTCAGAGAAATGGCAGCTTCCGTTGAGAAATAGTTGCCTCATACACCTACAAAGCTTTAAAAAAAAGTTAGCTTCCGTTTATAATATCCAAATTATTTGTTATACGAAGAAAGTCTGGTTAATTAAGAAATTTTAGGTACATCAAATGATGTATATGAGAAGTTAAATAACATTTTCCCGTTTTGAAATCCTATCTCCATTTTATCGTTCATTTCACAGATATGGACATCTTTAAAAATTCACAATGATATCTTTAAGGAAAGAGGTAGCTTATTTTGAACATTTCTATTCAACTAAACACAAAAGTGATAAGTACTGTTTCAAAAATAAAATCACAATTTGCCTCTTAAAAGGGTTTATACCCCAAGAAAAGCGTACCTATCGTTTTGTGGTAACATTATTTCCTGTTTGATTTGTATTTTTAATTTTGAAAACCGGTTTGTGATTGCAATACTCAACTAACTGTCAATTGTCAATGTCATTTAAATGTCACGTCTGCCGCCATCTTCTTGCCGATTGAATTGTTTTCGTTTGGTTTCCTATGCATTAAAACTTAACATTTATATCTCATTTCTTCACACGTTTTACTGTAATGAGTAGATAACAAATCGAACAATTGAAATACGTTTTAAACTTAAAAAGTTTTTGAAAAATCCGTTTAATATATATATTTTTATTTTATAGATGTTCTAACACCTATTCTTATTTACCTTGATTTGTCTTCTATAACAATGTCTAACATTTCGTATGATCTCGACACCTCCGGTGGTCTTATGCCTGTGAGTACATAAACCGTTATATTTATTACAGGACAAATAATTATTCTTATTTGATAACTGGATTGATCGACTAAAGAGTAGTACAAGTAATATTGCTGTAATTTCAGTTTATAAGGGCGATAATAAAGCCACCCGATGAAGATTTGGTCCCGCCAAAACCTAAAAAGCCTCAACATCCATATTATAAAAGACCTGGTAAGGGTCACAATCATGACTCCTGCGACGCATGCGGTGAAGGAGGTGATTTGATTTGTTGCGATCGCTGTCCGGCCAGCTTTCATCTTGGATGCTAGTAAGTAAAGTAAAAGTTCAAGATTTTAATATAGTTGAACCTTGGTAAGTGAGAATTGGATAAGTGAGAAACTTTTATAAGCAATCATTGTCCAGTCCCGACAGACAACCTCCATAAGCATATAACTCAAATTAGAAAACTATAAGCAAAAAATATATTATAGTCCTTCAGTTTCTTGGTTGGCCAGGTTCAGCTGTAGTTCACTTGAGTTAATCACAGTTGTAACCAACATGTATATTTAAAGTTAACTTAGATTAGACAAGATTTTAAGACAACCTACATACCTTTTCTGCTCCTTATTGTATTATACAAAATAAAGTAGGCTTCCCACTGGCCTGCAACTATGAATGCTTACATCTTTAAATGCAACAGATTATTTATGCAGTTTTCTCAGAGTAACTCAAGTAGAAGGTTTGTATGTATAGTATATTAGAGAAATACTGGTTGTTTTAGAGTTTTCTAATGGTATAAATAAAACAATTATATCATCCTTGGATCCATGCAATTCATCATCATCATCATCATCATCATCTCCTTATCCTACTCCCGTAGGGTAGGCGCAACGGGTTCAAACCATGCAAATGGGTAGTTCAATAGTAAGTAATTAAATTGATTTTGTTTCCATCACAGTGATCCACCTTTAGAGGTGAGTGATATCCCGACCGGTTTGTGGCTGTGTCGGGAATGCTGTGCCTCTGATGAGAAGCAGTCATCATCACGCAGCTCCAGAGCTCAATCTCCTGCTGACAAATCCGATAATGAGAAGAGAACAAGGTAAAAAATATGTTTGTACATACAGTTAGTACTGAAGTGTTTACTGATTTGAGTTTATAATATATATCTCAGGTTTCTTAGGTAGAGAATAAGTTATGTAATATGCAATAAATTGCATTGCAAGTATTTATTTATTAACAACTAGCTTTCCCCCCTGACTGTCCATGTGGTAATAAAGAAAACAAAACCAAGTAGCCTATGTGTTCTTCCAGACTATCTCTCCATCTATGCCAAATTTCATTGCGATCCATTCAGCAGTTTAGGCTACAAACTCTTACAAACATCTGTCCATCAAAACTTGCGCATTTATCATATTAGTATGATTTATTGTTCACAAAAATAATTACATTAAATATCGGATTTTATATTTATCTGTTGTAATTATAATTATAGTTGTAGAAGAAAAGAATGGAAATAGAAATAATTTATTGAAAGCAAAAAATATTGAACCATAAAAATTGTTTTTAATGTAATTTAAAACTAATTACAAATAAATTATTTAAACTTTCGTGAGACATTTTATACGGTGACGGCACCGGAAAAAGAAAAGTATATGTGAGTAAGCCGTAAATAATTAATTATAATTACAAATACTAAGAAATAATTGTAAAATAAAGAAACAGATTTAGTAAAAGTTTAGTACAATAAGACAATTCAATACACTATAAGATTTTAAACATAAGCACTTATAAATTTATGTTTGAAATTGTTATACAACACTTGTATGATATGAAATTATAGTTTAACCTTTTTAGTATCTTCTAATATCAGAGTAATATACAGGGCTAGCACATCAGCTAAGAAGAGGAAAGAAGATGACAAGGATTCAGAAGAAGATAAAGAACCTGAAGAAGTCAGCAAGGAGCCAGAAGAAGAAAAGAAAGAACTCACACCAATGGAAGTTCTTGTCAATGCAGCTAAGATTATGAACCCTAAGCAGTTTGAGCTGCCGAGAGAAATGAGGATCCCATTAATATTTCCGGGAACTGAAAAAGGTAAGCCATAAAAAAACATATAAATCTAGTAATAAAAATTTATTTCAACTGTTATATTCTTGTAATAAAACGCCGTAATTAATTAATACGTGTATATTTCCGTTCTTACAAGTTCCATATATAATAAAAAAATTAAGATGACAGTTGTCTGGGCATAGAGTATTAAAGGTAATTTGGCAAAGATTAACCAGTGTTTTAAATCCAACATCTACAACTTCTTGTGAAAGCTAAATTAAAATGTAGCATGTTAGCTTGTGTCTTTTATAATATCAGAGTAAATCATTTAAAAATAATATTTAATTCTTTATTCCTAACAACATACAGAAAAATAGTTAAATTCCTTCTGGGTTAAAAAGTACACAGAAGGAATGAAGTATTCAATCAAAAAGTACTGCGGCAGCACTAAATTTACATGTTCAATATTATTTTGTAGTTGTTATTATTAACTCAATGCTGTTTTAGTTAGCTTTAGAATTCTGTAAAATGAAGTAATATGTATTGGCAGAGGGCAGTAAGAACGGCAACGCGACGGTCATTAGCGTGGACGCGTGGGGCTGCGTGCCGCTGCCGGCCAAGGCGTGCTACGTGTGCCGCGGCACCTGCAAGTCCGCGCCGCTGCTGCAGTGCGACTACTGCCCACTGCTCTTCCACCAGGTCACAATTTGCCCACACATGTGATTCTACTAGGTCTAACAATACCCACTTATGTGATTGTCTGCTAGGTTTAACATTTTGCCCACTTATGTGATTCTACCAGGTCTATCATTGCCCACTTTTGTGATTGTCTGCTGGGTTTAACATTTTGACCAAGCACATGATTCTACTAGGTCTAATATTGCCCACTCATGTGATTGTCTGCTAGGTTTATCATTTAGTCCACTTATAGGATTCTCTACTAGGTCTAACAATGCCCACTCATATGATTGTGTACTAGGTGTAACATTTTGCCCACTAATATGATCGTCTTCTAGGTCTAATATTTTGCCCACTGATGTGATTGCCCACTGATCATCAACCAAGTAAAACTGAAAACTCCCGTGACTTTCTACTATGTCAACAAATAACTCATGTGATTGTCTACTAACACTAATGGCTTGTCTACTTATGTTATCTATTAAGTAAAACTTGGCCCACTCCTGTGATTTCCTAGGTAAAATTATGCCCACTTATGTGATTGTCTATTATGTATAACTTTATTTTCTAGCTATGGAAAGATTCTCTAGGTCATGAGCAGAAATGTCATATAGGCAGTAAATTCTGTTAGTAATATCAAATTGTTTTCCTACAGGACTGTCTGGATCCGCCGCTCACCGCGTTGCCCACAGGCCGTTGGATGTGTCCTAATCATGTGGAGAAATATATTGTAAGTACACAATAAGGGTTTTATTTGTTTAAAATTCTTATGTATTTTAAACTAGCTGTTGGTCGATTGCGTCCAGGTGAAATAAAAAATAATAAAAACTAGTCTATGTTATTGGTAACATATTATTGTCTTGTTCGTTTGCCATCTCATATTATAAAAACATAACATTTTACTCAAAAACTACTGGTGCAGTAGTTTTTGAGTTATTTCAATACATGTTTCCCCTTTATAATGAATTAAACGAATGTTTCCAGGACTGGAAGTTAGTGAACTCTATATCTGCGACGGAGCGTGTCGCGCTGTGGGACAAGTTCTCAGCGCCGGTGGACCAGCACGCTATCAAGATAGACTTTATACGCCGAGCGAGACGTGCGCGGCCTGCACTTAGGTTAGTTAAGTAGGGCTAGTACACATAGACTGATTTAGGAGCGTTGCTGACTAGGGATGGGGGGTGTTGCTGACTAAGGGGGGGCTAACTAGGGAGGGTTGCTCACTAAGGGGGACTGATTAGGGGATTGCTGACTAAGAGGGGGCTAAAAAGGGGGGTTGCTGACTAAGGGGTGGGGAGTTGCGATTAAGGGGGCTAACTAGGGAGGTTTGCTCACTAAGGGGGACTGATTAGGGGATTGCTGACTAAGGGGGACTGATTAGGGGATTGCTGACTAAGAGGGGGGCTAAAAAGTGGCGGTTGCTGACTAAGGGGGCTATAGGTTTACACGACGTACATAGAAAAATGAAAACAACAGTAAAAGTGCAATAGTAGACAAATATGTTTTATTTTTTAAACCAAAATGCAAAATTTAAATCAAAATTAAGCAATTACCTCTTGTAGATATTTATACAAGCATTGGTAATGATTGGCCAGTTGTGAGCAGTGTGTTTTGGTGTGTTATGGGGTGTGATGGGGTGTGATGGTGTGATGGTGTCAGGCTGAAGGCGTGGGGGTACCGCGGGCGCGTGGTGGTGCCGCAGATGGTGCGGCTGCACTACCGCCGCCCGCCGCCGCTGCTGCCCAGCCGCCGGGAACACGTGCGGTGCCACAATGGTATGACATGACACACTATGACACTATTGAATCCAATTCTCAGACTGACAATCTTCGGAGATAAAGTGAATTAAATAAATTAATGTCTATTGTCCATTATTCATTCTAGCAATATTTGAAATCAACCCAGTAGTTTTTGAGTTAATTCAATACAAACAGTCAAATCATTCTTTTTTATAATATCAGTATAGAAAAAAATAATAAAAAGTATAGCCTATGTTACTCACTGATTACGTAGCTTTTTAATAGTGAAAGTATTTTTAAAATCGACCCAGTAGTTTTTGAGTTATTCCAATACATACAAAAAATATCTTTCCTCTTTCTAAACCCTACTTCTCAGTCGTATTATTATAAACATTAACCATGTAACGAATATGTTTCCAGTCCAGTTAACTGGAATGTCACTGGCTTACCGTAGTGTTAAAGAAGCTGCAGTCGAGCGGGTACTCGGAGGCGGAGGCGGAGGCGGAGGGGGAGGCGGCGGGACAGGCGGGCGCGAAGTACCGCATCTGCATGAACACGGAGTGCGCGCAGTACGCGGGCGGCGAGTGCGCGCTGCGCCCCGCCAGCGACCGCGACGCTGATGATGACCTGGAGGCTATACAGCATAAGGTTTACTTCCACTACTTTTATATACAGCTAGCTTTTGTTCGCAATTTTTTTTTATATCATAAGGTGGCAAACGAGCAAGCCGTCACCTGAATCCGCCAAAATGGCGAAGGGACCGCAAACTGTAAACATCCGTAATAGCAGATGCATTACCTACCCTTAATCGACGAAGGAGGATACGCAAGTCTCCTCCACCCACAAATCCACGTTCCCTTTCTATCCTTTTCTTTTAAAAAAGGGTGTGGAGGAAAAGGGACTAAAGTTGGACTTAGTCCCCGTGCAATTTAAAATAGTAAAAATGTAGCCTTTTACTCAGTGATAATACAGTTTGTTAATGGTGGTGGAAGTATTTTTGAAATCGACCCAGTAGTTTTTGAGTTATTTTAATACATACAAAAATACAAATGTACAAATCTTTTCTCTTTATAATATTAGCATAGACTAGTTGTTGCGACTTCGCCGCGTGAAATAAAATTATAGCCTTTGTTACTCACAGATAAATTACCTTTCTGACAAAGTTTTTAAAATCGGCCTAGTAGTTTTTGAGTTTTTTCAATTCATACAATAATCTTTCCTCTTTGTAATATTATTATAGACAAGATGTTGTTTGCGACTTCGTCCACGTGAAAATTAAAAATATAACCCATGTTACTCACAGATAAATTCAGAAAAAAAAAATTTTAAAATCGACCCAGTAGTTTTTGAGTTATTTCAATAAATACAAAAATACAAACCTTTTCTCTTTATAATATTAGTATAGATGTTAGAAAGCACACGGCGTGCAGCACCTGTAATTAAAAAAAAACCCGTTATTAACAAAATGTATGTAATTTTCTTTAATTTTTGTAGGAAGAAAAAGCGGATTCGTCAAGCGACTTATCAGACTCTGATTTCGAGTATTTAACAAGCAAAGTGAAGCGGCGGCGCGTCTCCGCGCGCTGGGGCTGGTCCGGGCGCGCAGCTGCGGAGCGCCTGCAGCTGCGCGACGCCGGCGTGGAGCAGCTGCTGGCGGCCGTCGACAGGCACCTGCACCTGCTGGACGACCGCCTCGTCAAACTGCTCGCCTGGCAGCAGCTGCAGCAGGTATACAGCAGCAACAGCGACAGCGACAGCTTGGCTATCACAGTAGGACAGTTGTAAAGATTGTATAAATTCACAAGGTACGTTAGAGCGTTGGTAGCTCAGTGGTTTGAGTTTGACTTGTAATCTAAAGGTCCTGGGACCAAATCCTGTACTATTTGATTTAATTTTTTTTGAATTTCATATGTATACAAGTTTATCGGTAATTAGACGTATTCCCGCTGGGAGGTTCTAAAGGGGAGGGAAAAAAATTATAATTAAAAAGATTACCAAACGTAAAATAAACCATTATGCGTGTTCTCCACCTTCAAATCCAGTTTCCTTTCTCATCATCTACTTACTCTTATCCCTATGGAGGGTCGGCACAGTATGTTGTGCTCTTCCATACATTTCTATCCGTCGTCATATCTGAATCCTCTCCCTTCTTAAGCACTTCACACACATCCATATTTTCTTCGGTCTTCCTCTGCAGCCATTGACATTCAATCTTAACAGACTAGGGTTCATGTCCCCATCGTTTCATCGCATATGTCCATACCGCGTTAAACTTTCCGTTCTCATCCTTCCTTATAAGGGTAAGGAAACTCCTCGGACTACGCGGAATGACTTCCACTTCACGACTGTTACAGATAGCGTGCGGCGAAGCAGTATGGGGGCGGTGGCGAGGGTGCGCTGGGGCGGGGCCGGGGGCGGGGGCGTGCGCGCGGCTGCTGGGCGGGGCGGAGCGCGCACGACTAGCGCGGCTGGGGGTGCGTCGTGCCGCACTACCCTCGGAGTTACTGGCGCGTGCGGACCGCGAGCGCATCGCACGGCTGGTGTGGGGCGCTCCGCCCCCCGCCCCCGACACGCCCCCACCGCCGCCCTCGCCCGCAGCGCTGCAGCCCCGCCTGCCCGTGCGCGCGGTACTCACACCAGTACAAGTAGAAAGGTAAATAAACATTTATACTAATACTAGCTTTCGCCCAAGACTCCATCCGCGTGGATTTAAAAACAAATGTAAATAGCCTATGTGTTCTTCCAGACTATGTTCTACATCTATGCCAAATTTCATCGAGTTCCATTCAGCCGTTTATTCTACAAACTCTAACAAACATCCATCCAGCCAAACTTTCGCATTTATAATATTAGTAAGAAGTAAGTATAACAAGGAAAGATTTGTATTTTTGTATGGTTTTAAATAACTCAAAAACTACTGGGCCGATTACAAAAATTCTTTCACTATTGAAACACTATGAAAGCGGTGAGTAATTTAGGCTATATTTTTTAATTTCACATAAGCGTAGTTGTGAGCAGAAGCTAGTACTAAATACTAATGTATGTGAGGAATATAAAAAAAAAGCTTAGCAAAAGTAACTTTTTTGTATGTAGACATACAAAAATGTAATGAAACTGTAACATATTTACTTTTAGTCCCCTCTCTTCAATTAGTATTTTTTCCTTTATTATAAAAAAATATAGTTCAAAGTTTTTGAGTTTCATCTTATAAGGCGTGTGACTTAAAACGGTTCGTTCCGTTTGCCTTAGTAACACTCTTAAATGCGAAATTTTGTATGGACTGATGTTATTATTTATATCCAAAACTGCTTGTTAATTGGCACAAATGTAGAACATAGTAAGCAGTCAGTCTCTTAAATAGTGGTAGTGCCCGCTTTAACATGTTAGCACTGCAGGCCGGCACGCCCCCAATACCACGACCACACAGAAGACAGGCGTCAAATGGAATCATTTCCGTGTTTCATCTGATGAGTGTGGTGCGGGAGGCCTAATTTAAATCCCTTTCTCGTTACCATCCTTTTCTTATAAGGAGAGGTTGGGAAGGGGAAGTGGATTTGACGGTTGAGGAGATGCATAGGGGAAATACCCTCTTTATGTGCGTCTCCTCCTCCGTCGGATAAGGGTCGGCAACGCATCTGCAATTGCGAATGTCTATAAGCAGCGGTCACTTCGCCATTTTGGCGGATTCAGGTGGTCGCTTGCTCGTTTGCCACCTTATGATATAAAAAAAAATAGCAAATAGCTACTTAATAATATATATTTTTTTTAATAATATACGTGTGCAGTGAGGATGGGTCAGCGCGGTTCGGCGGCGGCGTGTGCATGCGGCTGAGCAGCGTGTCTGTGGGCACGCATGGCGACGTGCCGCTCGCACCCGCCTGCCGCCACGCCTCGCCGCACCACGCCGTCATATTCTGCGATGAGGTACGCACGCACGCACGCACGCATGCATGCATGCACACACGGTACCACGCACGTACACAGCGTCAACTAGAGAAGCAAAAAATATGATAGATACAAAAACTACTTACAGTTAACCCTTAATTCGTGATCTGTGTGACCAATTAATTTGAAAAATCTGTTATACTAGTATTAACGTATATTTTTTGGCTACAAAAACTTGAATTAATGGTTAAAAAAAATTAAGATTAAGGGAAGCGACCCCACCAGCCATTGCCTAGACCGTTGAATCTAGACCGATAATCTAGGTCTTAGATGACACTTTACTCGTCAAACTCGATTCACTGATTTGGCTCTAAGCCGTCACAATTCAATTTAAGTATATACATTCCACGTGCAAAAAACAATCTTACATATAGATCTTATAATTTTTTGAAATTGTCAAGTGGCATCCACTGATTTTTGATGTTACCAGTAAGTAGAAAATTTCCAACTTTTGAAATTCTTCTATGTTGAAAACAATATTAAACTCATCATCTCCCCTGCCTTATCCTACTCCCGTAGGGTCGGCGCACCGGGTTTTCGTCCTCCGAAGCACTCTATAATCCGTCATCTCAGTCAGCACTCCCTTCTTCATCATGTCACCTTTCACGCAATTCATCCATCTCTTTCTACGTCTACCTCTACCGGTGTACCTCCACATTCATAACTAACATCCGTCTTGTTACATGCGATTCATCCCTTCTCATAACATGCCCATACCACTCTAACCTTTTACTCCGTATTTTCTCAACCACTGGGACTACTCTCAAACTTCCTCTAATATACTAATTTCGTATCTTATCCAGTCGTGTTACCCCACACATCCATCTTAACATTCGCATTTCCGCCATATGTATTCTTTAAATCCGGGACGGATTTTTTGCTGCCTAACTTTTAGTTATGAAAACAATACCAAACTATACGCTAATTTTCAAAATCGAATTTCTGGATTATTAAAATGTCGACATTACCCGTGCAGTTGTCGCTCCCTTATTGGTCAAAATCCGACGATTATAAGATTATTTTCTTAGTTCATAAAATTACCAACTGTTTTGTGATTCTTGAAGAATACACCCATAATTAATTATTAAATAATATAAGATAATTTTCTTTCCCAGGTGACGGGTCACTTCGAGTTGATCAACTACTCAGAGTTCGGCAGCCGCGTGAACGGCGTGCTGTACACGTGCGACTGGTCGCGCGAGGCGGGGGCGGAGCGCCCGGCGGAGGGCGAGGGCGCAGCGCCCAGCCCCGCGCAGGAGGCGGAGGCCCGCGCCGCAGCGCTCAGGGACCTCGTGCGAAGTAGGCAGCCGCCACCGCGCAGGTACAGTCGGAGATTTACGTAGTACTGCAGTTAGCGTAGACTGAACATATTAAATATGACACACTTCTATATCCTTTAAGTTAAAAAATAAATTGATAAAAAAAAACATCATCATCCATATGTCAAAGATTTAATTGATGACTAGCGTTCGCCCGCGACTTCGTCTGCGTGGATTTAAAAAAAAAAACAGAAGTAAGAAGCCTATGTGTTTTTCCAGACTATCCTGTACATTTATATACATTTCATCAAAATCCGTTCAACCTTAAAGGCTACAAACTCTAACAAACATCCATTCATCCTTCTTAACTTTCGCATTTTTAATATTATTATGATATACTTGTGATATGGGAGACTTCTAGTCGAAACACTAACGTTTCTGAATCATATTTAATAACCTCCTACTAATACAATCAAATAAATGGTAGTAATCATGCTTGTTTTACCAAACCAGGCCCAACGGAGCCCTAACTGTGCGTCCCTCTTGGGAGGAGGGCGAGGGCGAGGAGTGCCGGTGCGGGGTCTCCGCGGCGGGGGCGGGCGGCGCGTGGGAGGGCTCCGCGCTGCTGCCGCACGGCGCGCTGCTGCAGTTCGGCTGCTGCCGGTACGTGTTCAGCATCGCCAGTGATGAACAATGACAAGGCACTCAAATCACTGAACATACGGCATGTTCAGTCTTGTCAATAATGAGCATATAAGTGTTCAGTCTCGTCAACAATGAGCAAATAAGAGTTTAATCTTGTTAATGAACAACACTGAACATGTAATGTGCTCGGTCTCAATAATGAGCTTATAATTGTTCAGTCTCGTCCGCCATGAGGATAAAAATGCTCAGTGTCGTCATCAATGAGCATATAAGATTTCAGTCTCGTCAACGATGACCACTGAACATGTGATATTCAGTCTCAACAATAAGCATATACAATATATTCAGTTTTGTCAACAATAGTCATATTGTATGTGCTGACTCGTCAACAATGAGTAACCACTGAATATGCGATATATTTAGTCTCAACAAAGATATAAGGGTTCAGTCTCGTCAACAATAACCATTTGATACGTTAAGTCTTGTCCACAATTAATATGTACATTGTTCAGTCTTGTCAACGTTGACCACATACATATTATGGGTTTAATATGAGTAACGTTGACCACTGTCGACATTATAGTAAATGTTCAGCGTTGTCAACAATGAATATGCTATATGTGGTCGGTTTGGACAATGATGTGTTCAGTCATGTCAAGTGCCCACAGACCATATGGAACATGTTCAGCGTTGACCATAAATGCTTTTTGTAGTATAAAGTTTCTCGTTTAGATTATAAGTTATTTGTATACATTAAAAAATAATGTTCTTGAATAAAGGTTTTATTCATAGTATGTTCTAACAAATTGTTTTTTCTAAAACTAACAATGGATGATGTTTTACATTATTTACTAAGGCTTAGTATGTTCTATTAATTATTTAAGACTTATTAAAACATACTTTTAATATTCTATACCTTGTATATGTAATAGTTATTTTAATTGTGGGCACTGTAAATCATTTTAAGAGTGCACCCCTTTGACTAAACTATCGCAGAACTGTTTAGTCTTTTTTGATTCCTGAGCTTATATGGAAGTGCACTACTAGATTTTTATTTCTGCAACTAAAAAGCTGAATTGGCTACGAAACAATCGACAATCGCATGACAGTTGTGCGATAATTTAGTCAAAGTAGTGCCTGCTCTAAGACTAGAAGAAAAGCAAAGTTCTGACTTGTAGTTTAAGTAATTTTGATAGTTAAAAAATGAAAAACAGAATAAAAAATGTAACATTTTTGTTTTTATTTATTCAAATATTATTTTCATCCTCTTCGTCAAAATCTCGTATTTTGACATCAGCATCTTCACCATATTGTATTATATTGTCTATGGTTATAAGTATGTTCTCTATGCTCTCCTCGTCTTTGATATTCAGCGGATAGAAACGGACGAGGCTGAAATTCTCTATGACTTCTCCGATAGCTTCTGTCAGTTTTGCATATTTTTCATGCCATTTCGAATCTGCGTTTCTCATATCAGCTAATAATATGTGTGGATCTGGTTCTAGATAACTGCAAGAAATTTAAATTAAACATATTTTATACAGAGAAATTATAAAAAAACTTTATTTTATTTACAATTGCTAATGTTAAAATTTAAATGCACAAATAACAGAAGACATTTGCATTTGCAACTTGTCGTGCGAGAGATTCCATGAAACCAGCAGAAGGCCCGTACAGCGACACGCCTTGGCGTAAACTGATCTATTTGTTTACATTACTGTTAATAAAGTCAATATCGTTGAAACCTTAAGAAATAGAGTCATAAATACAACTGCAACCTTTTTGGTTTCTACTGTTAGCTTTTTAACTACTTTTGATGTATTCTGTATTATTAAAAGTTATTTGTTAATCTGTTATATTTATCTTTATTTAAAACAACAATATTGTTAGGAAAATATTAGGAAACGGAAGGAATAGTGGGGGGTAGTTTTATAAAATATATGGCAAGGTGCGGGCTCAGTCGCAGTCTCGGCGCTCAGTCACCAACTAGCTCAGTGGTTTACTAGTCGTCTCAACGGAACGTTCGATATATTTGCGTTGTCACATTGGAGTTCAGTTTGTGTGTTTTAAAGTAATTTACAAGTATTGTTAATACGGTCTATCTATGTTTTAAAGGAAGTCATTTGTGGAAATATCTATCATTGGCTAAATATCATTACTATGAAAATCTTGCTTTGTTGCTGCTATTGGCTGTTTTTTGTTCTTTACCATTATGACCATTTTCCAATTTATTAATCCCCAAAATTAAATAGCGTGAAACTATAGCCTGTGTTGAATGAAGGCCTTTTTAATAAAAACTGTGTTATTCAAAAATGTGCTGTGATGAAAGAAAAGATTTTTCCTGCTGTTTTCGATGCCCACGATACAGGCATTACCTAGTGTGGGCATCACCAGATTAATAATTTTTTTCACTTTGGCGAGCATGTTATTAATTGGTTGCTAATCGGATTTGTGCTTTGTACTGTCTAATTTGTTGTCTTAGTAATGTTATTAAGACTCGACAATCACTGTCTTTCATTGTAATTAAATTAATTAAATGGATGGATGGATTTTTATTAGCGTTTGTAGCCTAAATGTCTGAACGGATCTCCATGAAATTTGGCACAGGTTTAGAGCATAGTCTGGAAGAACACATAGGGTACTTTTTATCCCGGGAATAGTTACGGTTCCCGTGGGATTCATTAATTTAGTTTTTTAATATTTACTCGATCATTTTGCAACGGTTCAACATATCTTATTGAAATTTCGGTACAGATATAAAGCAAAGTCTGGAGTACACATGGGATAAGGTTCATCTCCGAGAAATATCCGGTTCCCGAGGGATACGTAACTTTTTGTAATTCATATAGTTTGTATGTTTTCTAATACCATGCGGACGAAGTCACGGGCAACAGCTCGTAAATAAATAAATCATAACCCTAAATCATAATTATTGCTGGCTTCCAACAAAGAAATGTGTGTTTACACTTTATTATATTACAAAGTATAATTTTGTTTTTAATAAAAAAGAATCGGATTAATTATCTACTGTTTACTTACTTGTCTAATTGTTTTCTCGCTGTCTTAGTGAGCAAATCCATTTTAGTTAGAATATTAACATGCGGCAATTCTAAGTTCACCATCACACTGAGAGCTGCCATTGTCCCTGTAAATAACATTTTTAGTACTATTAACTAAAATTGGTAGAAATTCAACAATCTGAAAGTAGACGTTGGGCGTTGTTGACCACCTTGGTGTTCACGCCGCTCGTTTGCCCCCTTTTATTAAAAAAAGACAAGAACCAAAAATATAAACATCATAGCTTATTTAAATTTTTTAATTTCATTGCTTTTTAATAAGCACAGAGATTCTATTTTATACATGGGTTTTAAATTCCTAGTAAGGTTATAATTGTTTTGATGAAACTAACAAAAGGAGTTCTTTTTTCATTGTGTAGTTATTAAATTATCCAATGTACTGAATGTACAATGAATTAGCAGTAAGCTAAATGTATATACCTGATAAAAATTTAGCACCATCGACCATAAACTGTGAGTCAATAAGGAATACAACACATATCCTGAAGTTCCAGCCCTCCAGGAGTTCTACAATCTTGCGCATCACCGACAGATGTGTGTACAGTTCTATTTGACCTGGACAGTCAAACAGAATGTAATCATCGTCTACATCTCCTAGTTGTTCTTCTAACCAGTCTCTGTTCTCTAGAAGTGTTCTGTAAGGTATTAGACAACTAGATTATCGGAGAACACGGGTGAGAACAAACCTTTTAGAGATTGTAAAGAGGTCGCAACCCTCAGTAATAGGGAAACAATGCAGAGATAGCACTGAAGGTTCAAGGGTTAAGTACTTGACTTTTAATCTGAAGGTCTTAGGTTTGAATCCTACCATAATAATGTGTTTTTTTTTCAATTTTTTATGTACTGTCTGACATGATAAAGGAAAACTAGTGATCTGATTCACTTTAAGTGAATTCATAATACTACATTTTTTTTTATAATATAAGGTGGCAAACGAGCAAGCAGCCACTTAAATCCACCGAAATGGAAAGCGACCGCTGCCCATAGACATCTGCAATTGCAGATGCGTTGCCTACCATTCATCGACGGAGGAGGAGACGCACGTAAAGAGGACATTTCCCCTTCATATGCGTCTCCTCCACCATCAAATCCACTTTTCCTTTCAATCCGGCCGAGCCGGCCCATTCGTGCGAAGATGTTAAAGCGGGCTCTACCACTGTTAAAATGTTTCATACTCACTCTATACAGAATACAAGGCCTCCATTTGGTCCAAACTTCAACTCTTCATCTTCCATTGCATCATCCAAGTGGATTAATTCTCTTATATCCACGAGAGGTTCATAGTCAAAGTGTTCAGCTGCAGGATCCAAGTTCACTACTTCTACTATCCTTTTAGCATCACTTGCATGTTTTACAATCGTCGAACAATAGGTTGACTGGAATGTCAGACATAAAGTGAATTTTAAAAATTATACTTTCACAGTTACTCAATCTTTTTGTAGTGAGAAGTGTTTAACTAAAGAAAAATTACTCAAATATGTATAAAATTACTACAATTTACCTTTCCACTCCCTGCAGGACCAACAACTAATTGTGCATATCTCATTGTTTATATTGGTAAACAGTTGGTAAGGTTATGTTTTGTTTACGCACTTTTCTAGAAATATAAAGAACAATTATTGACAAAAAGAAGCAGATGACTTTTTTTATAATGCCTTTATACGCTTGAACTACTTATTAACATTCAGCAGTACGTTTGATTTGAATTTTTTCTTGTTAACCAAAATATAATTCATTTGAATTTGAAGTTGACGAATGTCACTTTGACTTTGACGTTTAGTTTTTGCTGTTGGCAATATTTGAATTGTATTGCAAGTTTTGTGATAATTTGAATACGGATGCTGTTCTTGAAGTAGAAATTATTTTTATGAATCAGTATTTCCTATCAAAAACTAATGTTTTATGAAGAAAAGTTTTTGTCCTTATGTACACTTTGCAAGAGACAGAAGTATAAACAGACTAATAAATAAAAAGTTACTGGTTGAAAACTAGCCTTTTTAAGGAAAAAAAAAATGAAGTGTACTGTTAAAATTTCTGCGCGTTTAAAAGCTATCGGGAAATCTTCAACTCTTAAAATATAAAAAATGACTGCTGTGGGTATTGATTTGGGAACAACATATTCCTGTGTGGGCGCGTGGCAACATGGTAACGTAGACATAATTGCAAACGATCAAGGAAACCGCACAACTCCGTCTTATGTTGCGTTCACTGACACCGAACGGCTCATAGGAGATGCAGCCAAAAATCAGGTAGCCATGAACCCTGATAATACTATTTTCGATGCCAAGCGTTTGATTGGACGTAAGTATGATGATCCTACTGTACAGCAAGACATAAAGCATTGGCCCTTTAAAGTTGTCAACGATAACGGGAAACCTAAAATTCAAGTATCGTTTAAAGGAAAAGCAAAAGTGTTCACTCCAGAGGAAGTAAGCAGCATGGTGTTACTAAAAATGAAAGAGACAGCTGAATCATATCTAGGCAACAAAGTAACTAAAGCAGTTATTACAGTACCTGCTTACTTCAATGACTCTCAGAGACAAGCTACTAAAGATGCGGGTGCTATTGCCGGATTAAACGTTCTCAGAATAATTAATGAGCCAACGGCTGCAGCTTTGGCTTACGGCCTTGATAAGAATTTAAAAGGAGAACGCAAAGTCTTAATCTTTGATTTAGGAGGCGGTACTTTTGATGTATCCATCCTTACGATTGATGAAGGTTCTCTTTTTGAAGTAAAAGCTACAGCCGGAGACACTCATCTTGGTGGTGAAGATTTTGACAATAGATTAGTTAACTTTCTTGCTGACGAGTTTAAAAGAAAGTATAAAAAAGATATCAAATCGAACCCAAGAGCACTTCGTCGCTTGCGCACTGCTGCCGAACGAGCTAAACGAACACTTTCTTCCAGTACTGAAGCAAATATAGAAATCGATGCTCTTTACGAGGGTATAGACTTCTTTTCACGAATTTCAAGAGCACGATTCGAGGAACTAAACGCAGATTTATTTCGTATCACTCTAGAGCCAGTAGAGAAAGCTTTAAATGATGCCAAAATGGACAAAAGCTCTATCAATGATATTGTTCTGGTTGGGGGCTCAACTCGTATACCTAAGATTCAGAATTTATTACAAAATTTCTTTAATGGTAAAAAACTCAATTTATCTATTAATCCTGATGAGGCTGTGGCTTATGGTGCTGCAGTTCAGGCTGCAATATTAAGCGGGGAGCGTCATTCCAAGATTCAGGATGTGCTTTTAGTCGATGTCACCCCCTTATCTCTAGGTATTGAAACAGCTGGTGGTGTTATGACGAAGATAGTCGAACGCAACGCTAAAATCCCTTGCACACACTCCCAGACTTTTACCACCTATTCGGATAATCAACCAGCTGTCAACATTCAAGTGTATGAAGGTGAAAGGGCAATGACCAAGAATAATAATCTGTTAGGAACTTTTGATCTAACTGGTATACCACCTGCACCTCGCGGTGTACCTCAAATAGATGTAACATTTGACATCGACGCTAATGGTATCCTCAACGTTTCCGCTAAAGAGAACAGCACTGGCAAGAGTAAAAATATAGTTATAAAGAATGACAAAGGCAGACTCTCCCAAGCTGAGATTCAGCGTATGCTAGAAGATGCTGAGATGTACAAGGATGACGATAATAAACAAAAAGAGCGTATTGCAGCGCGACATCAATTAGAAACTTATGTTTTTGATGTTAAACAAGCTGTGGATGTTGCTGGTAGCAAACTGAATAGTTCTGAAACCTCACGGGCTACGGAAAAGTGTGAGGAGATTTTACGATGGTTAGATGGCAACACTTTAGCAGAGAAAGATGAATACGAGGAGAAACTGAAGCAAGTAAAGAAACTTTGTGGTCCAATTATGATGAAACTGCACGGCTCTGGAAGTGGAAAGAGGGATGCTGATGGTCCTGTTATTGAAGAAGTAGATTGAATTGAATTATAATAATTGTGTTGCGTTTTTTGTTCCCTTGTCCTTTATTTTCTTTTATCTTTGGTTTTAATAAATTTCTTTCTTGTGATTGTTTTTTAGAAACACAATTCCTATCAATTGTATTATATCAAACTAAAAGTCTTTGACATTATTGCCTAAATAATTTGCACCAACTCTGGTGAAAATTGAGATGTAAATAACAAACGTGTAGGGAATCGAACCTTCTCGCGTCTCGAAAGCATTATATTACTGAGCTATAAGGTCTCATGTCAATTTGCATATTAAAGAAATGTCTATGGATGTTATAGAAAATGGCGATATTGAGATTATTTAGAACATCCCTAGCGAATCATTTCATTCATTCCGACAAGTCTACTTCATAGTTTTTCGTAGAATTTTTATCGCGATCTCAAAGTATTGCGTTGCGTCGTTTGCCATCCCTGAACTATAGTTTTATTCGAAATCAGAACGCAATATTACGTTGCAATTACCTTACCATTATTAATTTATATTAAAACTGCTGCTAACTGGACCAATAAAATAAAACAAATACAGATTAGCAATTTCTTTATTTTTAATTTAATAACTTTAGAAATTGTTCAGAAAGAAGACAATGGTTTCAGCATCATTATTAATATTATGATATGAACAATAATAATTATCGCTATAATTTTTATTACTATTTTTATAATATAATGGAGATAACATACGATAGTTGTCTATACGCTACATATGTACACCGCATCACTACCGCCATCTGCCAACGTCAACATAACAATAAAATACAAGATGGCGTATTTCTAGGTTACCAAGAATATTTTGGAGTGAGTTGTAAATTGATGAAATAAAACAAGTAAATTCAGGCCTTGTGCTAATAAATTGAATATAAATACATTTCAAGAGCTACATATAGTCGATGAATTAACAATTTTATTACAATATGTCGCATACACTGTGTTCTCGTTTGAAATTATGTTGTTACTCATGTCAATGTAAATGTTTTCTACGGTTCAAGGGTTCGTTCTGCTTCTTTAATTACTATCTCGATATTTTCTGAAATACAGAATTATTTAAATATGAAACAATTTTTAGCAAACCGTTTGTAATATTCTGATATCTCCAAATTTATTCTTGGCAACCATTTTTTAACAACAATAATATTTTTATAAATACTCTCAAAAGCAAAAGCTCGAAGACGAAACGTAGACAAAAGCAAACGACAATAAACTGAAATTTAATCTAAGTTATCAAATGAACTTTTTTAAAACTGTTAAACAGCCTAAGGTCTTGTGATATTGACTATTAGTTCTAAATCTTACACTACATCTTATTTGTTCATATTTTTATAAATAACATCGATATGTATTGTTGGTAGACCTAGAACTGAAAGTTTTGAAAGATTTACAAATACCGTCATTTCGGAATCGAAAAAATTTTGTACCGAAGTGTACTTGGCATCGATACTTGGTTACATCAATTCGGTCATTTAATTCATTAAATATAATTAATTTCGAATATTCGTGAGTAAACCCTTTAATATTTAAATTATTTCAGTGTTCTATTCTCCTAATACCTAATTATCTACCTAAGGTGGCGTTTATATACAAGAATAACTGAATCTCTACTATGTACACTCGATGCAAGGAGTATGGTTCCTCTTTTATTTAAATATACATTTAAAATTTCGTTATTCACTAGTAATAAAATAAGGATAAAAAAGGAAGCAAAATAAAAAATAAAACAACAGAAAAACAGAAATAAGATTAAAAGCAAGTTTATTGCTAATATAAAATAAAACTATAACCACAAGCAATACATTATTTGCTTATTTGTACGTTTTTTAAAAATATATAAAATCAATAGAGGTCGTTTTTGTTTAACAATAAGGATGGGTTGTATCAAGCGATAAAAGATAATCGATAGTCTATGGAAAATAAATCTGACAGATGTCACTGTCACTGTCACACATCACAAACTTGAGCTGTACCGCTTACGCATAAAATAATAGATAGTAAAACATACAATAGTATAAAATAAACATTCATAATTTAAATTTAAAACTTATATAACCCAATTATAATATTTGAAACCTCACCGGTTCATATAAACATAATAATACTTTTCAACTGGGGTTCAGTTTAGACCATAGCTTAAATTTACATCTGATTGCACTTTAAAATTTATTTAACAATTAATTGAACCTCCCTACACTTAATTATCGACGAGTTTCTTACATCTTACAAAGTGATTCTAACCTACCTACCTATGTACAGAGTCGTGGCTCCCAGGCGACATTCCAACGTATTTGGTATAATTATTTACAGTAATCGAATAAAAAAAAATAAACCATCACTTAAAAATACTCAGATATTTGTACCGAATCAGGGTACGGTTGTAAAAAAAATTAAAGCAAAATGCATATTTTTGTATCGCAAGTTTTTTCTCGTCCGACTGGGACGTATGCCTGGCATTATCACGAAAGCTAACAGAGGGTATTTACAAAGTCTTTGGCCTTACAATCGAATTATAACAAAACACAATTAACTAGACGAAGTTTGCACTGAACGTCGCTCCGCCGATCCTTTGGACGCAGTCAGTTAGCTAATAAATACAATCGTCCCGACCAACCGGTACACTAAGCTACACTCGGACCCGTTTCAACCGCTAAGACACTCGGCAAGTTCACTATCACATTGACTACAGTCTAATACTCCCACCTGTCGTCCTCGTTTTCCGTTTTAATTTTGTCTTCAGGGAGGACTTCAGGGGAGTGCGTGTGCGGGGAGGGCTGGACCGGCGACTGCGTCGGAGAAGGCTCGCGCGGCACCGGGGACGGCTCCACCCTCACAGTCTCCTCCGCCTCCCGTCTGAAGTCGTCGCTCCTCATTACACAAACACCATTAATGATAACTTCATCGGGATTCCGAGGCTTCTCGTCCTGCCAGTCAGGGTTCACCCACTGCGGCGCCGCCGGCTTTCTTCTATTCGATCTGCCCGCGGGCGTCGATGCCGCTTTGGGCTCAGTCTTCGATTCGTCGTCAAGCGAGTCCTCGGACCCGAGGTTGCTTTCCACATCGTCGTCCTCGTAATCGTCTCCGTCCGGCTCCCTTTTCAGGGGCATGGAGAGATCGAGACCGCTCGAGGCGTCCTTCGTCTGCTCTTCGGGTGGTAATAGACCCCTACCGATTAATGCGGCAAAATTTGAATTCGCGGCAAAGTACGGGGGATAAGGGAGCGGTACTCCTGCGAGACCCATTCGCTCCTTTTGGAGTTCGAGTAATCTCTGGTTGAGGAGTAATCGGAATTGCACCGGATCGAAGGGCGCGGAGGATTGGTCCCTAGCGGGGGGCTCGGCCGGCAATCCGTGCGGTGCCTGCTGCTTTAACCGCATTCGATGATTGTGAAACCAATTAGTGATCGTTCTCGTCGAAAGGCCTAGCTCTGCCGCCAAGAATTCTATCGTAGGCATATTGGGATATGGATCTAGAGCAAATGCTAGTCTTAAAGCTTCTTTTTGTTCCTCGGAGAATAATACTCTTTGTTTCTTGGCTGACGGAACCCCTGACGTGGGGCCCGGTGAACTCGAATGGTAGAATTCTGACGTGTCATTTGACGAGGTGTCAGATGAGTTGTCTTGGCCGGGCCCACTCGACCTTCGTCTCTTGTTGGCTTCGCGTCTCTCGTTCTTAAGCGCTTGAAGGCGATCAATGTTGTGCGCGTCGCTCAACCAAAGCTGCATTCTTATGAAGGGCTCGCGGCCTTTGATGCTGAGCATGTGCCAGGGTTTAGGTTTTGACAGAAGCTCGCTAACTGATCCTTGAGATAATCCGAGAACGGCTTCTCCGAATATTTTCTGTCCAATGTTGTTCGCTAGAAGGGCCTCTTTTATTTTGGTCGTAATCGTCTGTGTGTCCAGGTCCTGCGTTAAGGCGGCCATTTCGTATACGCTCGGGGAGATATGTTGGTGCATCCCTCGCATCACTGGAGGTTGGTGCAGCGGCTGCGGAGGGGGAGGCGGTTTCCGTTCCTTGTTGTTGTCGTGGTGCTGCGGGGGCAAGGTGACGGCGTGGTGCGGAGGGAAGCCGGGCGGGGTGAGCAGCAGCGGGGTGGGCTGGCCCAGGTGGCCGAGGTGGCCTGAGCTCAGCAGCTGCTCCTGCTGCATCTTGCTCAGCAAGGACGTCGCGTCGGAGATCATCTTCTGTGTGGGTGGCATCGGCTTGTTCATGTTTGGCGGACATGCTGAAAGTGAAAAGTAAAATTATGTTATACAGTTTGGTAGAAAAAAAATCTATGTAATGCAAATGTATGTAATGTAAGGCAATGTTTCAATAGCAACGTATTGTATTTGGTCAATCTTAATTTTTGAAATTTAATACTCACGAGGTGCTCCGCTGTAGTTGCCGGTCCGCATCAGCTTCTCCGGTGCGATCTTGTACTGCGAGGCGACCAGCTTGTGTACCGCGTTGTCGTCCTCCAGGAACATCTTCATGCGGATGAAGGGCTCCCGTCCTTTCTGCGTCAGCATGTGCCACGGCTTCGGCCTTGCTAACAAATCGCTTACAGATCCTTGAGACAGACCGAGCACTGATTCTCCGAAGAGCCTCTGACTTATGGAGTACTGACTTAAGGCCTCCTTTACTCGTCTCACGATCTCTTCTGTATTTAAATTGTTGAAGAGGTCGAACTGTTGCTGTGTTATCGGAGGGAGAACCGCCTTCATAGATCTCTGGGGCGGTGGGTGGTGAGGAGGATTCGACGGTTGAGAGATCAGGCTATTCGTGATTGACGCCATCCTTTGCAAGGGGCTGGCGGCCGCTGAGCCGCCGAAGTCCTCGTTTGGCGTGATAGCCGGCGGGAGGATTGCGTTACCGAGCGGGCTGGAGGCCGGGGAGCCAGTGGACTGCCCGGGCTCCAGCTTGGGCCGCACGAGGGAGAAGGCGCTGCCCGCGTGCCGTATCGCTTCCTCCGCGTCCATGGGTTTGTCCTTATCGCTATCAGTCATTCCGTTCATTTTGGCGTTCTTTTCTTTG